GATGGTCGTGCGTCCCGTGATCAAACCAAATGCAGAAAACAGTCGGTCATACCGTCAATCCGCACCGTTGCTTTCAAATGCAGCAGGCGTTCGAGCTCAAGTTAAAAATCATGATCTCTCGGTCGCAGGTTTGGTCAGGATAACTTTTCACAAACACATCAATCTCATCAAGTCAAATCATCCAAGCAAAATCTTGTCGAGAGTCGGACAATGTCCGACATTGAAAATCCCGAGCAGATACCCTTGTAAGGGTTTCTGCTCCGGCATCGTCGATGTTGTCAAAATCCTTATCGAGCAGTTGGCGCTTGACCTTATGTTTCATCTGGTCGCCAATCGTTGAATCTTCAGGGGAGTCATCCTTGTTGAGTAGTTGGCGCTTGACCCTATGTTTCATCCGATCGCCACGACGGAGATAATCCCAGCATCCGTGAGCACATCTATGTGATGAACCACTTCCCGACCCCGTGCTATCTTTCGTACCCCTTGCCCAATACCCTTGTTTTTGTATCATACCAACCCCACAAAACCCCGTCGCCTTTCTTGATTTCAGGCGCTTTGTTTGGGCCCCCATTTGTCGGAAGTTCTATTGATTCTTGGAATTCTGCTTTTTGTAATTCAGGAAATGCACGGGAAATTACGYSCGCCTTAGCGAGCGCACTGGGAATCGGGCTCRACAGTTAGGAATTACGGAATAAGCGGAGCCCGACGTATCTTTTTCCTTGCATGAATGTTCTCRGTCACGTCGGAGAAAACTTKAGGAATTTTTGGGAGAAYAMGRATAGGCGTAGRAATTTCTTTTCCCKCGTCGACTTTCGCGCGCGGATATGGTGATTTCAATTTTTGAATTGGTTTTSGGCATAGGCAAGCTGTAAMTGTTTTGGTGCCTTTTTCTCTTGTTGTCGGCACAGCGCATGCGAGCTTCCTCCTCCTTATTTCCCRYGTCATCCTTCCCCCRCACTCTCTCCTCTCYCCCTTCCCCCTCCCCTWCTTCTCCCATCRCAACTGTTTTTCCCTCTCTCCCTCTCTGCTTTYTGCGCGCCTRTTTCYCCTTCTTTATCATYTGAATCTTGGACCCRTMTCGYGCTGCTTTTCGCGCCTCGTCTCTCCTTGCTCTTCAACCTTGGCTCGCGAAGCCCGGTTGATCCTCCGCTTACCCCGRCTCACCAATCARACGYGTTGAGTAAGAGGATCTCCCCATTGCGCGACRAATCTGATTGGCYGACTATCGGGTTCTGAAGGATCAACATGGCTTCCCTTGAKCAYCTTTYGCTGAACCYTCTCCCCTTACACCTTGATCTCCCCTCCGTCTCCTCCCCCATCTATCTCSTTTCTCGYAACWATAAATTCTGYAAGCGCGYYYGCAAAACTCTSTTACGTTTTCCACTCRCAAGCCAACTTCCGGGAARCARTGGCTAKGTGATGCGTTTGGTGCGAGTCGAAAAGTCMTGTCGGSCTGACTGTAGTCTGGCCGGCTGYGCGCTTGATCRCCACGACGGACTGTGGRATCCAGGCGAGCCGAGTCGAGTCTGCGTCAGCGGGGTGACRATCGCAGTGGCGGAARTTAGCACGCGACGGYCGGGATCGTCRGTGCRGGTATGARGATTTGTGATTGGAGTTGAGTGGATGAGTGGCCTGGGGCCATATTGGAATTTCACGGCGAATGCGCCTTCATGATTGCGGATCATTTCTTTTGGTGTGAGTTCATGGCTGAGAAACCGAATGCTCTCTTGTTGAATTCTGGTGTCGTCAGTCTCGTCTTTTTCTCGTCCATCCCTCCCATTTCTCACTCTCTCTCTCTCTTTGACTTGAATGACGATGTGTTGTGGGCTTGTCTCTCTTGTGAACCAAAGCGAACTCTAGAGAGTTCTCGCACGAAAGAACTTCTTCCGGAACTCTTCCATTAGTTTCCTGGGTAATCCCCAGATGTCGAGAACTGAATTCTCTTGTCTTGTGAACGGTGGATCCGTGTGTACAATCCCTCGGTTGATTTCTGACCTGTGCACCCTTGTCATTTTCGCACCTTCCACAGTGGATGTATGTATAAAAATACTTGTATTTTTTTGCRATTGATTAGACTCAGTGTTCGACGGGATTTTGTTCGAGAACGCAARAGTGTTTAGATCTGTGGTTCTGAATGCACTGCGCATGYCATCTGCCTTATGCTGCATGACATSCACAGACAATSTGTGAGGCAGCTTCGAAAAAGCTAGGMGCCTYGTGTTTTGTTGATCTKGTTTGCTGAAACTGAGTCGAGGGTTGATCCCTCGGAACTCCCACTCGATTAATGCATGGGATGCTCCTCCCGTGACCAAAGGAAAAAARATACTAATTAGTCCTTCTTCGATCGTGCTTTTTGATGAYGTCTCAAGGATTTGTGTAARCTCCGTTTGATTGATTGATATGTGGACTAACGRYCGTTCCTCGATCAGGCGCCAACCTTCCGTACCTCCCTCRCCGAYGCGCCCCTTCCCCTACAACGAGGAAAGGAYAMGTGTATGCGAGTGGGACGTAYGAGAAGTTGTTGCACRCATCGGCGGACCATACTACTTMCCTCCTGAAAATCGTTGTTCCGGGTTCGTGGATGCRKGCTTTGTCATTATCGATACGCACTTCCCACCCTACTCAGTATTGTTGCCATTTAACGAGYTGATCRTCATTCCGTGGACRGCAGTGGCGCCCCATTGGCCTCRAACCCTGTGCACTGAGTGCCAACGTTTCGATCRCTACGAATCAAAGGGCTTCCACTACCGGATACGGAGTGAAGACGAGCACAAGGAAAGAGCCACGCGGCTGAGACCATCCACGTCAGACTCGGAMCTGACCAACGARCRACGTCGGGACTTGATACGRAAACGGGACACGYGGAGTGTACCGAAKCCTTTCCGCTCTAAACGAAGATYCGTASCCYGGTGGGAMGCTCGACAATACTTTTTGGATTGAATTTGGATTTTTCTWTTTTCGCGYMGTGCCCGYRCGCGCATTCCGCGACRCGCGAAARCGACCGAYTTACTTSATCGGGCCAACACGGGGGATTTCAGTTCTGTCTGTGTCCCCACACTCAATTTCCCAAAAATCCTTGGCACACCCCATCTTGCTGTTTTTCTGGGCCTCCATTCCGCACCTTTAGCACTCCGAACGAAAGACAGCACAGGGCGTGAGGTTGGTATCGAAGCCGTCATGTGTCGGTTATGATGATAGTAAGTCGAGCTAGCGAGAGGTAGAAGGAGTCCTCAACCTGCTCGTCGAGATCGCCCAGTGACCAGATCTAGATCTGGTGCGGCTAGACCGACTATGCCAATGGGTGACGGTAACTTAGCTCCTCCCAGGGTAATTGTTAGTATTCCCGCCCCTTTTCCCTTCTTTCCTAATCACACCCACCCCGAAGCTTGGTTGGAAGCCGTCAAAGCTCAAGGGTATGGCGCGGGAGATCTCCCCCGCGTCCTCACCTTGCTGCTTCGCAACACAGCGCACGATTGGTTTAGGAAACACACGTGGGTTGACTGAAACACCTTTAGGCAAGCCTTCCTGGCGAGATTTGATACGGTTAGCGAAAACGCCGCGTGGTATGTGCTCAAGACTCGACCGCAAGGACCAGGGGAATTGCTGCCCCAATTCGTGGATCGATTTCAAACTACGTTAGACAAATCAGGGCGAGATGAAAAGTCCGCCCGAGATTTGTTCATCGATCATCTACGAAGTCCGACGTTAAAAGGTAAGTTGCAAAAAAAGGTCCCCCTTAAAACGCACCAGCTATCCGCTATCATCGCTAAGGCACTTGAGTTGGACCTGACGGATACCAAGAAATATATCAGTCAGGGAGACGAAGACATTACGGACACGATCCAAGATGTAGCTGCGAAAATAAGATCGTGGTTGCGAGCGGTGGAATGTTTCTACCCTCGGCCGGATCATGACCTTCCCGAAGGGGCTGCCTCTGATATTCCGTCAGTTCCTTCTCACCCTCCTCCGTCCCTCTCAATGAATCAACAGGTAGCAATGGTTAAACCCATAAGCTCCCAAGATTCCTTCCCTATGGCCATAACAAACATGCATTTAGCACATATGATTCATACAGCTACCACCAAACAATCAGAATGGATGAGCAATCTGGTCCAAATGCAGGCGGCTCACATGGATCGACCAGACTAATTGAGCCCAACCCGGCTCCTGCTCGACATGCCCCTGCATCGTTCCCTGTTTTGCCTGTTCCGCCTGCACCCGGACATGCACAGGCGTTCCCTCACACAACCAACTTGGCAGGGAAAATCGAGTGTTACAATTGCAAACAGCCCAGACATTTTGCCCGGGATTTTCCGCAGCCGAAAAGAAATCAACCCCCACCTGCTGCAGCCCCCGTAGCTTTGAATCAAGGACGAGTAGCCACACTAATGGATACGGCTTGAAGTGAGGAGATCGTTGCGTACGCCCCTTAGCTCCCGTCCCCCTCAATGGTAGTAGCATCGACCTAGGGAATTTCTTCTTCCGACGCTGCTGACGTGGTCGATCCGCTGGAATACCTTCATCTCGCCGGAATGATCGGAGCAATCCAACCAGCTCAAGACGATCTTGAATGGGTCGAACGCGAATCTAACCCCGGACCACAGTTTCGGACGGGCGAAATCGATATCCTAAGAACGCTTAAGCAGCTGGACATTCGCGTTCCGGTCCCGGTGGGGCATTTGCTCACCATATCCGAAGCAGCGAATGACAAGCTGATGCAACAATGTCAGAAGAATCAAAAGCGTTTTACGTACCAACGCATGCAACGGATGCTGAAAAAGAAGAAGGAAGAAGGAGCGGAGGATGTTGCATCGCCTGAACCCGAAGTTGGTGAACCCGAAGCAGCCCGAGTAGTTGGAATTTCTTTAGCAGAGAAAAATCACTCGTGAGGGCTCGACCAGTGCTGTGGAAAAGTGTTGAATGTGATTGCGAAGTATGGGGCAAACCTTTTAACGCCCTCATCGATACCGGCTCCTCTGTGGTCGCCATATCATTAGACACCGTAAAGAGAACGGAACGCAGCTAATCGTGGATCGTAATGGTCTTTGCTAGATTGAGGGAGAATCGAATTGGGCCGTCCCGTTCTCTTTGTGTGGAAGACACGATTGGCACAGAGCATCACCAATTATTGCGAGCCACGAATATGGCCTTCCAGAACTTTGTGTGGAAGACACGATTGGCACAGAGCATCACCAATTATTGCGTGTTCGTGTACATGGATGATATTCTGGTGTATTCAAGTTCCTACGAAGGGCACGTGCAGCACATCGAGTGGACGTTGCATGCGTTGAGAAATGCTGGTTTCAAGGTGGCGCTCGAGAAATGTCAGTTCTTTCTCACCACCATTTCCTTTCTGGGACACGTGGTGACAGACCAGGAACTCAGACCGGAACCGCAAAAGGTGGCAGCCGTGAGAGACGCGGTTGTGCCCACGACTATCACTTGCGCCTTTTTGGGTCTGACCTTGTACTACGGAAGGTTTATCAAGGGCTTCACGACTATTGCGGGTCCCCTCACGAATCTGCTGAAAAAGAATCAACCGGTGATCTGGACGCTAGAATTTGATCAAGCGTTCTCGAAACTCAAAGCAACCCTCATTTCGGCTCCGGTCCTTATACGACCGGATCCTGCGAAGCCTTTTGTCCTCATCACGGACTGGAAGCCGGAGGCAATCTCAGCGATTTTGGCCCAGGTGGGACCCAGCAAACTCGAATGCGTGGTAGAATACGCATCTAAATTGGTGCCTGCCTGCAAACGCAACTACGCCGCCCCGGCAGGAGAATGCTATGCGGCTCTGTGGGGAATCAGTCACTTTCGAGCCTATTTGTATGGGCGGAAGTTCACATTGGTCACCGATCCTGAGCCATTATTAGCCCTGAAGAAATCAAAGGATTACTCGGGCATGATCGGACGGTGGGCAACGGTGCTACAGAGTATGGACTTTGACATTCGTCATCGGAAGCACGAGAGGCACGGGAATGCTGATGGGTTGACACGACTGCACCGACCCGAAAAGGTCCTCAAGAGTGAGGAGGTGATTCCGTGGAACGAGCCAAAAGAGAAGAGCGGACCGAGATACGGACAAGTGGAAATTCTGTCGAAAAAGTGAGTGACACGTAGCTTCGCTTTGCCCTCTCTGCAGCCCTGCTCACTCTCTCTCCCCTCCTCTCTCATCATGGCCACCCCACTTGTCTCTACGACCCCTTCTTCCCCTGCTGATTCCGGCCCTCTCGCCTCATCGGCCTTCTTTGCCACCCTTCCCGACAGATTCTGCTATTTTTGCACGTGTATTACACGGGTATATGGGGTGAATTGTCATCCTTTTGAGACTGGATTCGTTGAGTGGGTGAACTGTGTCACGTGTGTCAATCGTGCATACGGTGCATGCGTTCGATACCGAACAAATAGTAGGGAATGAAAATACCCTCTGTGTAGAACGTACAAACAGCCTACTGAGGTTCGATTCGAGGCTGCCCGTACGGACGGCCCCGAATACGACGAGAAATACCGACGAGCAGAGGTCTCGACGGATAAAATCCTATTTGCTAAGCTGGCTGGTTTACCATTGGATCATCTCACTAAGCACGACAGACGTCGGGCTACTGAGAGATCTCGGGATTACCGATGGATCAACGGTCGTCTAAAAAAACGTAAAACTGATGGATCGGGTTTGTGGTAAACGGTTCCCCATTCATTTCAGAGATATGATTGGACCCGATCTGCTCACAAAGAGCAGGCCGCTCACTTCGCGATACGTGTCACGGAGGCAACTATAGATCAGAATCGATGGTTCTGGTCTAATATCCGAGACGATGTCAGATACGTAGTTGCCCACTGTCTGGTCTGTGCCGCTGATCGTGCCCCAATACGGGGACCAAACACGATAGTACCGACAGAAGTAGAGCGCCCCTTCCAGCGAGTCAGTATGGACACGACAGATATCGACGTGCCACCTGGCCCAAACCGTTGCGAATATTCCATCCTTTTAGTTTTAATAGACCATTTCTCCAAATACATCGAGGTATACCCCTGCAAGACCCGTAAGGCCGCAGAGGTAGCCACGTACATCGATCGGTTCCTCTGTACTCACCTAGATACAGAAGAAATTTTAATCGATAATGGGTCTGAATTCAAAGGCGAGGTAGAGGAATTACTTGCCCGACGAGGCATTACGCTTCGACATACGGCACCCCATGTTTCTCAGTCGAACGGGTTGGCTGAAAATGCCAATCGCATGATTAAGATTGCCCTTCGTAGAAATTTAGCGGCGAATGACATGCGTCCTTGGCCCGAGATCGTATACCAAATTGTCGGAATTCACCGGGCCACCCCTCATGAATCCACGGGGTTCACCCCCTTTCAGCTTCGCACTAATAGCCTCTCATGCATCGATTACCGGGGCAACTCGGAAATTGCCAAAGCCGGGGGTAGAGACGCGTGCCGCCCTTAAGGCCAAAGCCAAAAGGTATGCCGATTTAATGGAACGGGTCGTTCCGAAGCTAGCCCGAAAAAGACAGAAATTGACTGATCTAGCCCACGGAAGACAAGTCCGTAGCTACGAGGCCCGAAATGAGAACGCCGGTCCCCAACATCAATATAAATTAGGGGACCTGGTACAGGTACGTAAATGTGCACATGACCGGAAACTCGCTCTCAAGTTTTCTGGCTGTTTCCACGTTGTCGAGCTCGGACCCAACGGTGCCAACACGGTGCGCATCACGCCCGAGGCAAGCGCCAGCCATAGCTCTATCCCCATCGTTCGCCCTACCTCTTACATCCGTCCCCTCCCTCCCTTTGATCTCCCTCCATCTCCTTCATCTGCTGAAGAAGAGGACGACGACGATCTAGTTCCCGCCTTGCTCTCTCCCTCCTGCTCCCCTCTTTCATCTTCTTCCCCGTCCTCGCCATGAGTTTCATCACGGAGCAAGCTCTTGGCGATCCTCTGTTGCAACCACGTGGCTACATCTCTAAAATCCGACAAGTTCGTCATCCGCGGCTCAGTTCTGATCTCCGAAGAGTGGCGCAGTTCTTCTGCACCTAGGGTGTGTGTGCTACTGCAGCGTTCCGATTCGCTGGGAGTCAGCAGGCAGTGATATTGGCGGAAGTGGTGGCTCTTCATCGACGAGTGGCTCCAGGGACGAGCCACGTCACCACCGTCCTTGCCTTCAGCGGCGACATTAGCACGGTCAACCCACTCAGGCATACCGCGATCTTGACCTCTTTATGAGAGTGGACGCAACAGTTGTCAGACGAGTGGCAGCACGGCCTTGCGCGTCCAGGGAATAGTCTGATCCCGACGTCCGGGACTGACTTCGATGGGATTCGCACCTCTCCTCGCCAGCTGGCAGTCGCGCTCCCCACCCTCATCCCCTTCCAACGCCCCCAATGAACCGCGCCGCTCCCCTCGCTCCCCTCTCCACCTTTGGTCTCCCCTCTCTCTTCACCACCTTCTGACAATCCGATCTCCATCCTCGCCTTTCTTTCTTGTTCGAGCCTCTTGTCGTCCCGCTCCTTGATCCCGAGCATTGGCAATTGTGGCGCGAGACCTTTGTCGACCTGTCTGTGTGCTTAGCCCGAGTGCAGGTGACGTGGACGCGGACCAGCGAGCATCCTGCGTGCATCGAGTACCTGGAGTTGTTGATCATCCAGGCCTGGAGCACTCACGTGGAAGGCGATCTCCTCGGTTTCCTCTTCGGATCGGTGCGGTGTCGAGCGCATCGGTCCGGCACCGCACCAGGGCAGCGCGGGACCCTCCCG